GCTGAGCCGGCAGAGCTGCCAGGCCCGGCTCCGCAGCCCCGAGGGCATGAGCCTGGCCGAGTTCCTCTACCCGGCCCTGCAGGCCTACGACTTCCTGCACCTGCACCAGCACCACAGCTGCCGCATCCAGCTCGGGGGAGCCGACCAGATGGGCAACATCATGACCGGATACGAGCTCGTCACCAAGTAAGGGCGGCGGGACCAGGGGGGTGACCAGGCTGCACCAAGAGGGATCCCCTGGAGGGCATGAGCCTGGCCGAGTTCCTCTACCCGGCCCTGCAGGCCTACGACTTCCTGCACCTGCACCAGCACCACAGCTGCCGCATCCAGCTCGGGGGAGCCGACCAGATGGGCAACATCATGACCGGATACGAGCTCGTCACCAAGTAAGGGCGGCGGGACCAGGGGGGTGACCAGGCTGCACCAAGAGGGATCCCCTGGAGGGATGGTCAGCCCCTGAGAGAGATGGCACGGAGCAGGCTTGAGAGGGGCTAGTGGGAGCTGCACCACTGTGGCCACCAGCCTGGTCTCTCACAGGGATGGCTGCAGGAGAGCCCAGCCTGCCACATGCCATTGTGCACTGCAGCAGTATTGCCAAAAACTTCATTGCATTGGGCTGGGCAGGCCTTGACAGATGTCATCATGAGCTGCACCTGCAGGGCTTCCCATGTCCCATCTCAGAGATGGGTACCCTCAGAAAGACCGCAGGGGGGGAACTGCCATGGGCTGCACAAGTATGTCTGATTGCTTCCTTTCATAGAGTTGGGCAGTGGAAGCCCCTGAGGAATGATGGCACTCAACTGGCTAGGTGTTATCTTGTGGATCTGCAACCTTAGTATCCTGTGTATGACTTATCTAAAAGCAAGGAGGCAGCTATTCCAAACTCAAACTAGTTGCTTCACACCTGCTAATCCACAAGCACAACTGATGAGAACAATATTGAAACACTGAAAGGGTCAAATTTCTTCCTTTACTGATTCTCAAGTAGCATACAGTAGGGATGTAAGGGACTACTAAGCTTATCAAGTAGTTGAGCCACGGCTTGGCTACTTGCAGCAAGGGTGGGAGGGGGAGCTGCCTTAAAAGCCAGTTCTCTCTCCCCCCCGCATTGTCTCCGCATGCATGGAGAGGCAGAGATGCAACAGGGGACCCAGCATGACCTTGGACTCAACAGTCCTAGCTCGTGCTGGGTCACAGACTACTATAGCTCTGCCTCTTAAATGTAGTAAGAGCCAGGTGGTTCTTACTACACTTAAAAGGCAAAGTCGCAACGGACCAGGACCCAGCCTGAGCCAGGACTGCTAAGTTCGAGCTCACACTGGGTCCTGGACTTATCTCCGCTGCAGCTCTGCAGTTTAAATGTAGTAGGATCGGGGCTGCCTGTGCTCACAGCTCCTACTACATCAAAACTGCAGAGCTGCAGCTCATTGACTAACAGTGTACTCAGTACAAATTGTATTGAGTACACAATTAGTTAGTTACCTGCTTAACATCCTTAGGCTAAGTCTACATTGGCCCCTTTTCCGGAAGGGGCATGTTAATTTCACGAGTCGTAATAGGGAAATGGGCGGGGGATTTAAATATCCCCTGCGGCATTTAAATAAAAATGTCCGCCGCTTTTTTCCAGCTTTTAGAAAAGCTGGAAAAGAGCGTCTACACTGGCCCCGATCCTCCGGAAAAAGCGCCCTTTTCCGGAGGATCTTATTCCTCCTTCAAAGTAGGAATAAGATCCTCCGGAAAAGGGCGCTTTTTCCGGAGGATCGGGGCCAGTGTAGACGCTCTTTTCCAGCTTTTCTAAAAGCTGGAAAAAAGCGGCGGACATTTTTATTTAAATGCCGCAGGGGATATTTAAATCCCCCGCCCATTTCCCTATTACGACTCGTGAAATTAACATGCCCCTTCCGGAAAAGGGGCCAATGTAGACTTAGCCTAAGGATGTTAAGCAGGTAACTAACTAATTGTGTACTCAATACAGCCAAGCTCAGGTATTCAGAAAAATGAATTGGGCCACAAATAGTTATTTTTGACTTAAACTTAACACCTGCTATATTTTTTTTTAACTTGCTTCTGGTTTTTCACCCTTTAGTGGTACATAGATATCACACTCAAACTTTTCCATGCAGTCATGAGGGCTGGAAATTTCCATGGCTTTTTTTTAAATGAAAGTGGAAAGTCTCACATTCTTGTCTCCTGCACAGGAGACTTCAAGTAAAACATTAAAAATCATGAAACGCTTCATAAAATTGTCAGGAGTGGAAATGTGAAAGTGGTCAGTTTCCAGAATTTTAACAAGCTTTCCAAAATGAAAAATTATTTTAACTTATTTTTAAATGCATCTTTTGGCTGACAGTGAGACTTAGAGATCAGCATTGTAAAGCTTCGTCGGTCCTTTTTAAAAGTCACAATCTATTCGCCTTCCAGTAGATAAGTAGAAATAAAGGAGAAAAGTGTGCTGAAAAATCCTAAGGAGCAACTTCAGAATACCAGCATTGGTGGTGTAGTAGTTGCTGCTGTTCTTGATAAGTAAATGCAAACAGTGTTTGTGCTAGTCTGTCTTAGTAGGTGAAATGGAAATTAAGGGTGCTGTGGCACTTCTCAAAGCTAAACAGCACTCAGAGTTATTCTGCAGGTTATGCTGAACACATCATCTATAAGACACTGTAATATATCAAAATTGACACGCTATGCACCTCAATCAGGATAGGCAAAATACAGGCTGGATTTGGCCTGCTGTGTCCCAACGGGACCTTTGGTCAGGCTCCCTGCCTGCCATGGCTCCACATGCTTCTCAACATGTGGTGTTTGTCCCCCTGCCCCAGCACCATCCTCACAGCCTTCCATGGGCCGGAAACCAGCCAGTTGGAGCTGCAAGGGCAGTGCTTGTGGGTGCGCACAGAAAGCTACTGCACCCCCTTCTCCCAAGGGGCATAGTGCGCCAAGACACATGTTGGCCCCAGCAGCTGACCGCTTTGAGCAGCATGTGGGGCTGTTGCAGGCAGGGAGCCTCCTTGAAAGTCCCACTGGGCTGCCAGGAGAATTTGCCTATAAGTGCCTTCTGGCCAGAATGTGCACCCAAACACTGGCCCCAGATCAAACCCCTCCTGCACCCAATCTCCCTCCCAGACTCTGCATCTTTGCCCCAGGTTACAATGCCCTTCTGCACCCTAGTTGCCTACTCAGAGCTCCCCAATATATCCAAACTACATCCCAGACCCCACAGTCTCTCCATCAATATAGTAGAAATGTGCAGCCTGATCACTTTCCAAATTCTTGGGTAAGTACCAAATTCTTCCCCATCAAAAACTATTTCCCATCCCTGATTTTAATGCTATATTCTGAATCAGATGCTTCAGAAGAACCTACAAGGAAACCTGTTACAGAATAACCTGCCTACAGGGGAATTTTCTTCCTAACCTTTTATTAGCTGCTAGTTGGCTTATATCCTGAAGCTTTTTTTTTAAACTAGGTAGTTTCATTACATATAAAATTGTAACATTTTTGTATTCCACCAATATTTTTTACCTCATATCTAGTGGCTGAGTTAAAAAAAATTTTTTTTAAATTACTTTTAGTATGATATAATTACTTTGTGAAAAGTTTAGAAACACCTCAGAAGAACCAGTAGTTCCAAGTACACGTTATATTTAAATTTACTGGGCAATGTGATCTTAATGCATTGTGATTCTTTCTCCACAGGGTGACAGGAGAAGAAGTGTTTGGAATCACAGTGCCTCTTATTACCAGTACCACTGGAGATAAATTGGGAAAGTCTGCTGGTAATGCAGTTTGGCTAAACAGAGATAAGACCTCTCCGTTTGAGCTGTACCAGTTTTTTGTAAGACAGCCAGACAGCACTGTTGAGAGGCAAGTAGTTCTTAAACCTCATTTTCCATAAAACTTGCTCCAGAAAACTAACAGCAGCACTGAGGGTATGCTTGTATTTTATACTAGGGATATTAAATTTAGATTAACTAATTGACTAGTCGATGGGATTTCCCACTGGGGCTCTTGTGTATTTCAAAACCAGAATTGCAGCAGAAGTGGCACAAGCAGAGACTGCTTCAGTCCCCACTCGCGCCATTTCTGCTGTGCCTCTACCTTCCTTAGGCCCCCATGGAGACAGTGCCAGGGAGGAGAGGGGGGACCGGCTTTTAAGACAGCTTCCCCCGACACTGGCTCCTGCTCCCCTCCCTTGTTGCCTTTCTGATAGGCAGCAAGGGGGGGACGACAACCAGTTGCATCACTAGTGGACTGTCCAATAAGCTTCTGCTTATTGGATAGTCAACTAGTCTTATATCCCTATTTTATACAGCAACACAGGCCCAGCCTTTGGGCAAGGTGCATGAGGTGGCCTTGGGCCCTGTGCTGCCCAGCTACCTGCCCTGCCCACCTGGCTGCTCACTTGCAGCTCTGTGGCTCAGCCACGTTGCCTTGGGCCCTGCAGACTCTTTGACCAGGCCTGCAGCAACAGTATGAGATTGCGCAGCAAAGTATATTTCCACTGTCGTCATGCCAGTTTTTGAAAGAGTCTTTATATTGGTTAAATAGCTTACCAGATTCATAAATGTACACGACATTAGTAATTCATTTGTTGATCTATGCATCACAAATTAGCATCAAAAAATGACCTTTTGAGTGTTAAGTGGCTTAGGGGACACCACCAGGAAGGTGTATGGGTTTCCAAAGCATAGGCGCTTGAGGAAATATTTGAAATCCAAAAAACATATTGTTAGTCCTAACTCCGCAAACAGAAAAAGAAAGGTTTGAGAGAGCATCTGCAACTGGGATTAATAAAAAATAATTTTAACACATGGAATTAAATTTGCATGGCAGAGAGAAAAGAAGTGTAATAATACTGAGTGAAGTAGAGACACAATAAATCCTTTTCTGCTTTTAGGTACCTGAAACTGTTCACTTTCCTTCCTCTTCCGGAAATAGAGCACATAATGGAAATGCATGCTAAAGAACCTGAAAGGCGGGGACCTCAAAAAAGACTTGCTGCAGAAGTAACTAAGCTTGTTCATGGAAAAGAAGGTCTGGAATTGGCCAAAAGGTAAAGTTTGACTGATTTATACTGTTTCAGGCTTATTTAGGATAAATGCTCATTATGACCAGAAGAAATTCTGTGTGGATAGTTTGTGAATATTTGAGGGTGAAGGAAGGCACATTTTATGTAATTCTGCAGTTGCTTTTACCTTAAGTAGCACTAACAAAGTTGGGGGGGGGGGGGGGGGT